CTCAGACACCCTCCTCTTTCTTCCTCCCCTCCTAACAAGGGACTATTTTAATTTAAGGTGCTTCTATTGTCTTGCAAATTGACCTGGGATGAGATTAAATCATTCCAGCTCTCTGTAACCTTTATGCATGCAGAAATATTACAGGGGGGACTCTGGTATCAGTAATTTGTGTTAAACCTTGCAGGACTCCTTCGTATAACTTTCACTTCCTCTTAAATGGAGGAGGAAACCAGGGATCTACATATCACTTCCCAACTACAGAACAAGCTATACACAGTCTCTGCCTCCCAATCAGGAATTCTCTAACTGTGCAACTTCCAGAGATATATGTTCTTTTGCAAGTTGTCTATTACTCCGCGATTCATAGAATCATAGAATGGTTTGGGTTGGAAGGGACCTTAAAGATCATCTGGTTCCAACCCCCCTGCCATGGGCAGGGACACCTTCCACTAGCCCAGGTTGCTCAAAGCCCCGTCCAACCTGGCCTTGAGCACTGCCAGGGAGGGGGCAGCCACAACCTCTCTGGGCAACCTGTTCCAGTGTCTCACCACACTCGCAGTGAAGAACTTCCTCCATATATCTAATGTGAATCTACCCCCTTTCAGTTTAAAACTGTTACCCCTCATCCTGTCACTACACTCCCTGATAAGGAGTGCCTTGCCATCTTTCCTGTAGGCATACTTTAAGTACTGGAAGGCTGCTACGGGATGTGATGTGATGTGATGTGATTGGCTTTCTGGGCTGCAAGTGCATATTGCTGGCTCATATTCAGTTATTTATCCACCAATACAAAGTCCTTCTCTGCAGGGCTGCTCTCAAGCCCTTCATCCCTCAGCCTGCACTGATACCAGGCATTGTCCTGATCCATGTGCAGGACCTCCCTCTTGGCCTTGCTGAATTTCATGAGGTTTGCATGGGCCCACCACTCAAGACTGTAAAGGTCCCTCTAGATGGCACATCCCTTCCCTCCAGTGTGTTGACCACCATACACACCTTGCTGTTGTTGGCAAACTTGCTGAGGGTGCACTCAATCCCACTGTCCATGTCACTGACAAAGACTTTAAATAGCACTGGTCCCAATACTGATCCCCGAGGAACGCCACTCATCACTGCTTTCCACTTCAACATTATGCTGTTGACCACAACTCTTTGAGTGCAACAATCCAGCCAATTCCTTATTCACTGAGTGGTGCATCCATCAAATCAATGTCTCTCCAATTTAGAGACAAGGAAGTCATGTGGGACAGTGTCAAATGCTTTGCACAAGTCCAGGTAGATGACGTCAGTTGCTGTTCCCTTGTCCACCAATGCTGTAACGTTGTCTTAGAAACCCATCAAATTTGTCAGACATGATTTGTCCTCAGTGAAGCCATGTTGGCTGTCACCAATTACCTCCTTGTTTTCCATGTGCCTTAGCATAGTTTCCAGAAGGATCTGCTCCATGATCTTGCTGGGCACAGAGGTGAGACTAATTGGCCTGTAGTTCCCTGGATCTTCCCTTTTCCCCCCTTTTTTTCCCCATAAAAGGGTTATATTTCTCATTTTCCCATCTGCAGGAACTTCAACACACTGCCATGACTTCTCAGATATGATGGACAGTGGCTTAGCCACTTCATCAGCCAGTTCCCTCAGGTCTCATGGATCCATCTTATCGGGTCCCATGGACTTGTGCACCTTCAGGTTCCTTAGATGGTCTTGAACCTGATCTTCTCTTACAGTGGGTGGTTCTTCATTCTCTCAGTCCCTGCCTTCACCTTTGCCTTCTGCAACTTGGTAGTGTGGCTGCAATACTTGTTGGTGAAGACTGATGCAGAAATGTCACCAAGTACCTCAGCCTTCTCCATATCCTGGGTAACCAGGTCTCCTGTTTCTACATGTCATCAGTGAAGCAAATTTTAGAAAACTGAAATCAAGAAATCTTGTCTTAAGGTATTTTCTCAAGATGGGACAAATCCACGGGACCCTAATGTAGTCCACTGAGACAACAGGAGTCAAATTCAGGATAATAGTCAAGTCCAGATCCTAAAAAGCTCCTTAGCTCAGGATCCAGCAATAGCTCAACTGAAAGTGTGAATTTTAGTGAATTCCTAAGCTTAAAATTGCTTTCAGATTTTCTAGTCTAGGGTAGTTACATAAAATGGATTCAGAAGTCATGCAAATTCCAATAGTCGTGAGCACACAAAGACTGGCAATTCCACTGGCATAACTTTCATCCTGCACTTCCTGACTTGGTGCATTTTTTTCCCTTCCATATCCATAATTATGAACAAGTCAAGAAGGAAAGAAGATTTCTGCTGAAGAAGAAAGGATGGTGTGAGGATGGTGCAACACAGCTTACGGAGTAAGAGGGAAAGGCAACTCCCACTGCTCATGCTGGGAAGGGATGCCTGAAGCACAGTGAAGATATTCCCTTAGTGACTACCTCAGGTATACATGTTCCACAAAGTGAGGCTTGAAATTTAAACATAGCTGATAAGAATTGTACAGTTCTGCACCTTAACAGTGCCTTCCAAACACCAGAATGAATCTCTGGTGGATGATTATCCATTCCTTTTTCGCTCCTTTTTCTCATGTTTGAGTAGAAATAAGAATGAAATATGAAAGCAGAAAATGCCACTGTTTAAATTTTTATTGGTAGTGCTAATAAGCCTATTTTCTGTAATTAAAACCTCAAATGTATTCCTGAATGATAAATAATACATCATAGACTCTTTAAAAATCCCACAATAATAAATGCCTCCTTAATGAAAAAACAATGTATTTTGACAGGGAAGTTAAAAAATAAAAACAATGAAAGAAAACTAAATCAACTGAAAGAGTGAGTAACACCATACTTAAACCCAATCCTAATGTTAAGAGGAACTGTTTAACTGCCTGTGTTTATAAGGATAAGTATTTAAATGATTAGCTTGAGCTCTGCAGCACCTGTCTTGACATAGGTGGAAGAAAGGAACAATTTCAGGCAAGGAATGCTGAGAGCGATCTTGTCCTTATGGAAAGACTATCAGAATTGCCCTTCTTCCTCTCCTTAAAATTTAATAAAAATCCTGTCTTTATGGAAAATAAGGATAGTGTACATTTAGTCTACTGTGTAAAGGCCTTTCTCACTGGAAAGGACAAATCAAAATTAAGCACAGGGATGACTAATAAGTTTTCTATCTATAAATCATAAAATTATAGTCTTTGCAGGACTATAAATTACACTGAGAGCTGAATACTGCATCCTCTCTTATTCTGATCATTTGACTTCCAAGTAATATAGCTTTAAATGCAAGCCAGGTATTATCTGGCACCCCAAGAAGAGAAACGTAGAAATGATGGCTGACAAATTTACAGAATTTCTACTATAATGTACCAGAGTTAGTTTTTGTTCACTGGGATTTTAGTTCTTTTATTCAATGACAGCCAAATAATTTCCTTATTCAGAACAGACATGCACATTACACTGGATGCAGATAAGGCCTTTCTATTCAGTCCATACTACAGTAATTTACTGAAAATGTCTGGCATTGAATTCTTTAAGGTTGTTTGCAAGTAATTTGGTGAATATAATTCTGAATAAAATACGAAATTTGTAGAATTTTATATAATTTCAGACATGTAAAATCCAACAATTGTTTTAGTTACCAGACTAGGCTGTGATAGTTACTGTCTAGAGTATAAAAATTATGTTCTTCTGATATGTGATCTATCCCAGACATCCAATTTCAAATTACGATTTTAAAAAAGGAATTAAATCAGGCAACACAAGAATAAGTTGAAATCAGAAGTTAAACATGATAATTAAACCCACATATTTAGTCAGACCAAGATTTCTCAACATCTTGTTGTGTACCAAGTCAATCAATGCTGCAGATTAATAACAGTACCAGCAGCTGTCAACACAACTTGATATAAAAAGTTGATTAATTTCAGTACTTACCAACATCTCCGAAAGTATTCTGAATTTTTAATAACTATAGGGATTAAAATTCAAGGAAATTTCTTTTAACTGGTTAACATTCATGGCAATAAAAAAAAAATAAAATTCAGCATGAACTAAAAACTAGAACATGCTTCTAATATATTTAAAGATACTTAGGACAGATTTGTATCATTGCAGTCTTGTAAATGATTTAAAAGCAAATTATATAAAAGTATGATATAAAAATTAGTGATACTTTTTATTTATTGATCTGCTTCTTCATAAATTAATAATATATCTAATACTGGTGTTCCAACTGTTCTCTTCTGATCTCTAAGATCTATTATTACCTTTGTAGTTCCACAGTACTTGATAGTGAATTGTTTACTAAATGAGTGAATTCAATTTCTTACAAGTCAGCTCTTCAAGCACGTAGTGTATAGAAGAAAAAATGTCAGTATTTTTCTATAACAGAACACACTAAACCCCCCGAAACTAGCACTGAAGCAAATGGAAACGTTGCAGTCCAACAGCTAGTAGTTTCTGAATTACACACAATGAGATATTCTATGCAAATAAGACAAATTAGCTCAGAAGTCAGTCCTCCTCTCTCCTAAGAAAACTGATATTCAGAAATAGATGATGCAATTACAAATCTATGGAGAAAATGAGATAGGAACACTTATTTTCTTTGCCAGTCCGCTGATCTCTGCTTGACACCAACAAACAGCATGTACATGGGCTGTAAGGCTGGGTTTTTGTAAATATTCAAAGCAGACATTTAATATTGTCACTGCTTTATTATAATTAATAAGTGATACTATGGTTGTGGCTTATGTGTTTTAGAGAATAAGGGAGTTTAATTGTATGGATGCCAGCCACTTTATTCTTCTTGGACTCTTCCAAAGGCACATTTAAATTAGCAGTACAGATCTAGCTCTTTTTTTTTGTTTGTTTTGTTTTGTTTGTTTTTTTAACTTTTAAGTACTTAGCTACTGTTAGAATGCTCTAAAGTCTTCATTTCTATTTTATGTAACTGCCTAGATAAAAAAACCCAAACAAAAAACCAAAAGAACAAAAAGAAAGTATGACATACTATTCACATTGAACTGACTCATCTGCAGAATCCTCATCTTTAGATCTAGCACACAGATCTTGGTAAAACTGGTTGCAGTAGCAGACGTTCTTCCTCTCTATGGACCAGCACTAGAAGAGAATGAGACACTGTGGCAGCACATTTTGTACTTACTTTTTTTACAGCGGGACAGTGATAATATTAAGGAACTGCTGATTCCCTTCTGAGCATTGGGTGGAAGTGTCTTATTTCTGTCCATCTGTCTCAGAAACTGGATCAGCTCTTCCCATGTAAAACTATCCTTATCTTATTTGTTTTCTTGTTCTCCGTGCAGTAAAATCTCAGTTTCTTACTTATTTTAGCCAGATGTAGTCTCCTTTCCTATCAGCTGCATTTCTACCAGGTTTTGTTAAATCTTTCTCCTTCCCACATTCGTAAAGTCTTAACATCTTTCTTTCACTCCGTATACAATCTCAGTCTTCCTTCTAATCTCTGCCTCTTTGCCTCCACTACACTTTTCTGACTCCTTCTCTCAACGTGCTTGTCCAGCTACATCATGTTTTCATTTATGACTTAAAATGTCTCCTCTCCTTCATTTCCTTTAATCTTCACATTTATTGGTAATTCCAGACTCTTTGTCACAGCTGTCCCTAGCCTTTCTCCTAAGTAAAACATTCTTGGCTGACCAGGCTCAGTTCAGTACTTGTTTCTCTTGAGGACCAACTCCCTGTCTCTTATCTACTCCTTTCCTCTCCTTGTTTGGCTTTTGTTCCTTCTGCTTTAAAATCCATCTCCCTTTCAGAGACCAGCAAAGGTGTAGGAAAACATCTCACCGGGAGTATAGATTCTTATGGAGACAAGACCTCAGCTCTCATTTCCTATTTCCAGACCCAAACATATTGCAGGGAAAATTGTGCTTCATCTCTTTCCTGACAGAATTATAACTAGTCATTCTGTGGTGATGGCACATTAATCCAGTCTGGAGAAAAGTTGCAAGAAACTAAAGTATAAGCAGTAACTTAAAAGGCCATCTGAAATATTTCTCTCAGGGATGCCAAACTGTGATTTTTAGGGTTAAAATTTAGTTCTGTTTGGGCAGATTTTTACAGGGTCATAAAATGCCTACTTTGTCCAGCACAAACATACCAACCTTGATTTGCTGACCCAGGCCATTTTTTACACTGAGAATTTTCCTAACTTACATCTAGAATAGTAAATGAAGAAGGGTCAAGGTGTATGCTTATGAACATCCATGCTGTTTCACTGACAGCACACATCCTGGAATAGCTTGGCCTATACCACCTGGCACTCTGCCAGATAAGGCCATGGCCAGTTTATAGTCTGGGGATAGCATAGGAGGGCTCCCAAAAGGGCTCTGTTTTGCTGGGGATGAAAATTAGTTATACAGAAGCAAGCTGTGTCATGCCGTTTGCTGAGGATTAGCCTTTGTAAGCACATTACTCAAAAAAAATCCAAAACCCGGTTCTGTTCAAATGAACATTATCCTCATTTTCCACTTAACGAAACTATTTCTCCTTCACTAGTTTGTGTTAATGAGAGTTTGCGATACCACTTAAGTGATCTTAAGTATATTGGACAGAATAGTAACAAATTCTAAAATAGTAAGCAACAATCATTTTTCAATATAGATTAAATTTAATGGACAGTCCACTACTTTTGCTTTTAGGAGATTACCAAAATTATAAAATCCCTGTGTGGTGAACAAGAATGCCATCTGTTACACAGTTTCAGACCTACTTCTCAGAAAAATGTCTTTTCTTCTATAAAAGGGAATAATTCCTCATTTGAAATAGGAAAAGTTTTATCAACTTGTGGCAGTCCAGAAGTGAATAGTTTTGCATCATGTGGTAGCTCCATGGTGCTATGTAATGTAACTAGATGATGTTTTTACTTAAATTTGCATGTAGGCACAAAAGATGTCATTCTAACTGACAAAAATTCTGGAATATGCTATAAAATGTATAGGTTCATTTTTCTTTCTTCTCTGCTACAGCCTTTTCAATAACTACTCCAAATTTTACATTATCTCAAAATTCTACTAAAGGTAAAACATACTTGTGCTCTTTAAAGACCTATTTCTGTTTTGTATTAGAAACTGGAAACCTGGCAATCAATTTGACATTTCAGACATTCAATTAATTAAAATTCTTACTCTTGATACCATATTTTTACATCACAACCTGTTGTAACTGCAAAAGCAATACATTCAGACATGGAAGAAAGTGCCAGACAGAAAATAATAACATGTGAGTCTGTTATTTATTTCCAGACTGGTCTACAGACCTATTTCTGTATTCTCAAGTACACATTAAAATCTCTACTGTCCTCCAGAGAAAATCTCTTTCACTTGGATTTACAGTATCATTGGCAAGTCCAGAAAACTACAGCACTTGTGAGACAACTACAGAAAATACGTATTTTTAATATATTGCCTCGCCTTTGTTCTTTAAGTAAAACTGTAACATATTGCATTACAGCAGATTAGGAAGACGTCCACAACACCCTTGGAAGTTTAAGTTTATGGGACATTATCTTCCTATTCAAGACTTGTAACTTAAAACATTCTTCCCCCATTGCTTGCAAACATCTGATGGTCTCTGTTTGCCTACTTTACATTTTACTTATTCATAAGACATTCTTCCTTTAAAAATCCCTTTATAACCATTTAAACAGAATGAAGGTCACATTTCGGCTTAAACTGACATTACTGCTCTTTTATTTATTCAAAATATCAAGACAGGAATAATCTGCCTGGGGGTATTCTACCTACTCTGACAAAGCTGAAATTCTCTCTGTTTGCATACAAAAATTAATAGGAATTGCATTGAAAACTTACGTTTTTCATCATTATTCTACTCCATATTCCAGCTCTTGGAAGAATGGACAGTGAGAATGTATTTTTGAAGCAAAGCTAGAATCATGCAGTTAGAAATACCTAAATATATTGGAAGCTCTTGAGGTGGGAAATTAAGATGAAGCCATGTTTGATGCTCTCTTGTTTCTTTTACCAAAAAGGAACACAAAGAACTTTTTTCCTTCTGAACATGAGTTAATACCATCTGGTCCTGATGACAGAAAAAATATTAATTTTATTGATTTGTCCCAAAATATCTTCTACCAATATTTACATATGGGACATTTCTTCTGAGTCATCCTCCAGAAAGAAGGGGCACATAAAGAAATTTCCCAGGCCTCCTCAATAAGGAACATTGATATTAACGCCTTTAGGATTTTCTTTTTGATATCTCTGTTCAGGCACCCAAAATTCAAATCTTCAGTGTATATCAAGTACTCAAATGTATATTATTAATATACACAAATAAATACAAGTCAATAGAGAAAAATCACAAAGGAACTGAATGTATACCATGGACTGCATGAACACAACTAAAAATGCTCCTGTAAAGTATCAGGTTAGCTACCTGCAGCATCAATCACCAAGAATATAATCCCCAGTATTTGATAATTTTTAACATCAATGATAACTGACTGTTAGAAGGTATCTAACCCAGCACATATTCTGCTGAAGAAGTTAGTCAGGTCTACCTTCACTGTCCATTTTGCTAAAATGCGTGGAGACAAAAAAATTTTAAAAATCACCATCAAGACAGTGATTCAGGAACATATAAAGTCATTTAGGAAGTACCGCAAAGCAGAGTTTCTGTCTCTATGGTCCCCTGATCAACCAATATTAATTTAACACATACTGAAGTTGACTCGTGATACCCCAGGGTGATCCAACACAGGAATTCTTAGATGTTACAAACACCCACAAGACATGAAGGACTGGTCCTCACTACCTCTGATCATGAAACAGTTCAGACATGGTAGCTGAACAGACAGGACACCTTTTATGATCACAGCAGTAATATTCTGAAACAAACAAACTAGGAATTGGTGTTGGCAGGTGTTTCATCTAGGAGGAGCGCTGGGAAACAGCAAACTCAAAGCACAGTTTATGCTTACCACTTAGCAGCAAAGATGAAACTGAAATTAGCAACAGTGTACAAAGGGAATAAATAGAGAACAGGGTAGAGGGCTTAGGTATGTTTGCTGTTGCTTTCAGTTGTGCTTAAAAGTCCTTTAAAACCAGCAAAGAAATAGTGAGCTTAATTAATCATTTGTAGTATAAACAGAAGAAGTAGTGAGTCTTAGTTGCATATAGGTTGGCTTTGGTTTTGTTTATATTGTATTTGTTTTGCACATCAACGCAGTAACCTTGTTACTTTTGCTCTTTCCAAGTCCTTTTTAAAAATCTCCTGGGCAAAATATAGTACCTCTCAGTATTAGCCAGCTTGAACTGTCTGTTCTGACCCAGTAGATACTATTCACATGCCAACAGAATGTATCAGGACAGAGTTTTCCTTTAATGAGGTTACCTCACAAGAAACTTTCACTAAACTTGAAAAAACTTCATTACCCTGCAAAACTCTATCATTTTATCATACTCAAAGTCTGCTGCAAAGTCAAAAAAAGACAGAGGGGTAACAACTTTCTGGTGAACAAACAGTAAATAGAATTCCACCAGTTTAATTTGATAAAAAAACCCAAACTAAAACCCCAACAGAATGAAATAGTGATATAAACAATTAACAGGGTAATATTTTAAATAGTTTGAGTATTGACAAAATGGATATATCCCATGTTGTTTGCATTGCCATTAAAATCATTGCTCCCGATTTTTTTTTTTTTTTTTTAACTGTATTGCTTGGATTCTCTCAATTACTTTAAATGCTTCCTTGATCTTGACAGTATTTTAAGAAAAGAAACACCACAAAGTTTTTGTTTTACACATAGTAAAGGTAAACTTCGCAGACAGAATTTGGTAGTTTGTCACTCTGAGTTGCAGTGAAGATCAGGTTTCTGTGTACAAAATTTCATTTCTTAAGGACCATTAAATGCAAGTAAGAATTGTTTTTGTGGTCTTCAATTTTCCTCCACTGGAGACACCACCAGGAATCTCAAAACACTAGTAGGCATAAACTGTTTTGAAACTTTTTTGTCATTTGTCATGCTTTTTCTGGTTTCTTATATACTTAGGGGAAGTGTGCTAGACATGCCAGAATTGCAAAGCTAACTCAGGGGTAGGAATGGGAAAACAACCTTCACT